ATCATCGTTTTCTGTCACCCCCCCATTCGTCATCGTTTTCCTTGATGTCTTCCCCCTTATCTACATTCGTTATCTTCCAAGGGGTGGCGCTCAAAAAGGATAATATAATTTTTCGTTTCTGTTAGCTTGTTTTAGACCAGCTAGGAGTGAGGGGGAGGGGGAGCCTTGTGGAAGTGAGCTGAACAAATGAACTTTATCTGAATTACATTATTATTATTGTCGTTGTTGTTAGTGGTGGTGATTTTTTTGTTATTTAATGGTATTTTTTTAGGTTATAAGCGGGTGTTACCAGAGAGGTCACTAAGATAACACTTTCCACTATAACTCCCTCAGAGGCGTCAGTTATCTTTACAACATAACAGTAATGTGGCAGAGGACGTGATGTGAAAAGAATGGATTTGTATCACAGAAAATGAGTGACGTGGGAAAGATGGTGTGTAGCGGTGAACTAATCAGAGAAAATGGGCTTATTAGCGCCCCATAATCATTAAAAACCGAATTATCTCGACACAGTAATCACAGAAAACTGATTTAATCCGACGCTAAAACTCTAGAAAAATGGTGAACATCAGCGCCACGATGCGGTCTGACGGCCAACGGAGGAACTATAGCCGCTCGACCCAGGGGAGTTTCCTGCGTTACGGCGACGCCCTGGGTAGGTATGGGCGTCACGGGCGTAGTGTGGGCGCCCAGAAGTTTAGCCGGAGGATCACCTTCCTGCAGCCCACCCCTCAGACCCTCACCTTCCCGTTCAGAGCCTCAGATTATATTCACACCTACTACAACTGGCCTCCCTGGTATGAGGTGCGTGTGGGTACCAGGGTCTCTCTCTCTCATACAGGGTCTCTCTCTCTTCAGGTCCATAGGGGTTAAGTTAGGTTGATTAGGTTAATTTAGGCTAGGCTAATTTTTATACCCATCAAAATATTCCAATCCAACCCTGAAGCTCCTTAAATGACGAAAGGAGAAGTAGTGGGTTCAAGTGGCAGGTGGTGGCGGTGTATGGTTAACGGGTAATGGCAGATGAGGGTTAAGGAAGTGGCAGGTGTTTATGGCGTGAGTTGCAGGTGGCAGGAGGTGGTCACAGGATGTTTCCATCTGTGCTGAACCTGCCGTGATGCCTGAATGGATGAGTCTCTCTCTCTCTCTCTCTCTCTCACACACCAATGACTCACAGGTGGAGGGGCAAGGTGTACCCTCACGTGGGTGTGGTGGAGGGGCCGACACCCAACCAAGAATGGCCAACGCCCAGCTCACACACACACACACACACCCACACACACACACACCCACACACGCACACACGCACACGCACACACACACCATCTACCAATATAGAGATCTACCCAACAGCTTCGTTTTTCTCATCACTCGGTGTACACGATGAACTTAACCTAACCCTAACTTGCATATGAGTCACTACTAAGTTACAGTCCCGTGTGTGTGTGTTTATATGTCAGTGTAAATGTGTGTGTGTATGTATGTATGTATGTATGTATGTATGTATGTATGTATGTATGTATGTATGTATGTCTGTCTGTCTGTATGTACGCACTTATGACTATTTAACAACGATTATAATAGTTTTAGTTGAATTTAATAAGTTAATTATATTTTTTGAAGGTTGTTAAGTTAATGTTAAGTATCAAGTGTTATTTTAGGTGTTTGTAATTGCTAGTTAGTTAGTTTAGGACATTGTTGTATTACGAGGGATATTGGTGGTTAGTGTACTGTGTGGGTGTGGTAGATACAGGTAGTGGTGGTGGTGGTTACAGCTGATGGTAGTGGTGGTAGGTGTGGTAGTAGTAGTAGTGGTGGTGGTAGGTGTGGTGGTGGTGTGGTAGTAGGTGTGGTAGTAGTGGTGGTGGTAGGTGTGGTGGTGGTGTGGTAGTAGTCGTGGTGGTAGGTGTGGTAGTTACAACACGTCACTCCCTGATTACATATTTGACTCAAAACAACTAACTGGCAACTCACGTCCTGGTCTCTCTCTCTCTCTCTCTCTCTCTCTCTCTCTCTCGCTCTCTCTATATTATTTTTTAAACAATTGTATTTTTTTTTCTCGTAATGTTATAATTTTTTTAACGTGTAAATTTATTTTTTTTATTTGATGACAAATTTTTTTCCATCAAGTGATATATTAGATACCTCCTCCTCCTCCTCCTCCTCCTCTCCTCTCTCTACTAATTTATTTCACGTAATGATTCAGTACTATTAATGTTACTTGAGGTAGGTTTGGTTAGGTTAAGTGTGTTAGATTAGTTTAGGTTAGTGTTAGGTTAGCGTCAGTTAGGTTAGGTTAGTGTTAGGTTAGCGTTGGGGTGTTTAATTATGAAAGAAATATGGACAGGCCAAATCTTCTTCAGGTGACTCAAAAATCTATCATAATTATATAATGAAACAAACTTTATACACTCACCCACCCTAACGTAACGTAACACTCACCCTAACGTAACACTCACCCTAACGTAACACTCACCCTAACCTAACACTAACCTAACACTAACTTAGCCCCAGGTGAAACACAACAACGCCATCTGTGGGTGGACGAGTAAAAGTGAAAGTGTACACATAGCTGAACACCGAAAATAGTTTGCCGTGATTGTGTGTACCCTCTGTCACCCTTGCCACCCTGTCACCCCTAGCATCCTGTCACCCTTCCCACCCTAACACCCCGTCACTCTAGCATCCTGTCACCTTCCCACCCTAACACCCCGTCCTCTAGCATCCTGTCACCCTTCACTAACACCCCGTCACTCTAGCATCCTGTCACCCTTCCACCCCTAACACCCCGTCACTCTAGCATCCTGTCACCCTTCCCACCCTAACACCCCGTCACCCTAGCATCCTGTCACCCTTCCCACCCCTAACACCCCGTCCTCTAGCATCCTGTCACCTTCCCACCCTAACACCCCCGTCACTCTAGCATCCTGTCACCCTTCCACCCTAACACCCCGTCACTCTAGCATCCTCACCCTTCCCCTAACACCCCGTCACTCTAGCATCCTGTCACCCTTCCCACCCTAACACCCCGTCACTCTAGCATCCTGTCACCCTTCCCACCCTAACTCCCCGTCACTCTAGCATCCTGTCACCCTTCCCAACCCTAACACCCCGTCACTCTAGCATCCTGTCACCCTTCCCACCCTAACACCCCGTCACTCTAGCATCCTGTCACCTTCCACCTAACACACGTCACTCTAGCATCCTGTCACCCTTCCCACCCTAACACCCTGTCACCCTAGCATCCTATCACCCTTCCCACCCTAACACCCCGTCACTCTAGCATCCTGTCACCCTTCCCCTAACACCCCGTCACTCATCCTGTCACCCTTCCCACCCTAACACCCCGTCACTCTAGCATCCTGTCACCCTTCCCACCCTAACACCCGTCCTCAGCATCCTGTCACCCTTCCCACCCTAACACCCCGTCACTCTAGCATCCTGTCACCCTTCCCACTAACACCCCGTCCTCTAGCATCTGTCACCCTTCACCCTAACACCCCGTCACTCTAGCATCCTGTCACCCTTCCCACCCTAACACCCCGTCACTCTAGCATCCTGTCACCCTTCCCACCCTAACACCCTGCGACTCTAGCACCCCTACCATCCTTCTCAACACCCTGAAATGCACTTCCAAAATGACAAAATCCAAACCTAACCCTTAACCCTAACCTAACCCTACCCTACCGAGACAACATGAGGCTTAGTGTTCATTTGGAAATTCATTGGATTCATACGTAGAAACTGTGTGTGTGTGTGTGTGTGTGTGTGTGTGTTGTGTGTGTGTGTGTGTGTGTGTGTGTGTGTGTGTGTGTGTGTGCGTGCCAGACTGACTCACATAACTCACCAATCAAAATGAACCGTCGCTCACAACCAATTGATCAGTCTTTTACTGACCCACCCAAACTGTGTGTGTGTGTGTGTGTGTGTGTGTGTGTGTGTGTGTGTCTAGGCATGTTTGTTTGTCTGCGTCAATCTATGTATGTGCACGCGCGTGTGTGTGTGTGTGTGTGTGTGTGTCATGCTTATTTGTGAGTAAGTGTGTGCATTTATGTGCTTCTTATATTACTTATTATAACCTAACCTCGAAAAGTCTTCAAAACATTAAAAAAAAATAATAATCCTTTGAGTGGCCAAGGTTTCTCTCAGCTGAATCGTCTGTGTTTGATAAAACTCCTTAAGTGCGACATAACTCCTTAAAGGGTTGATCGTACAAAAGCCGAGAACATTATTAGAACAAACGCAGTGTTGATATAAAAGTACTATAATAAGATAGTCTTTGGTTGATTATAAACAATTTACATCACTTCTGGTCGTTACGTCACCAGTCGGTCAAATGGAGGCACTTGTGGTTTGAATGAGAATTATGTGTCATAGGGTTTCGTAGAAATTGTAACGCTAACTATTTCCCGTAAGAGGAGAATGAGGAGAGATTACAATATCCTTCTAACTTCTCACTTAAAATGACGGTTCAAATGGCTGAGACTACCATGACGAGCGTTTACTAATCCTATATTTACTAGATATTAAACGTGTGAATATTTGAACACCGTGACTTAACTGTAATTTTAATCAAGATTCAAGGTTATCTGATATATGTGAGGTCAAATGTGAGAATTTATTTATTATGTTAGCCGCAGGGAGTTAGTGGGCCTGGTGGTTGGTGAGTCCGTTGTGGTGTGAGTCAGAGAGGGGAGGGACTAATGAATGTTTTAAGATAAATAAATGAACGAAAATACTCAACAGAGGAATCCCTGTTTATGTGTGTTGAATATTACTTCCATATTGCCACACTGTAGAGATGTAAGAATTATTTGTGTTCTAATTTATTTGTTAATTCTTGGATCCATGGGTCTGACATGTCTGGTATGTTTAGTTTTTGTTCTAATAGATATTTCTTTCAGATACAACAAATCTGATATGTTGATTTTTTGCCTAATTACTGTTTTTTTGTTTTTATTGCTGAGAATAATACACTAGTTTTATTTACACTGTTTCAGGCCCAGTCGGAGGAGGAGTATCGACAGACCCAGACTAAGGTCAACGGTCTACAGCGGACTCCTAGCAGCGGCAACTACCGTCCAGTTGAGCTACATAACATACCCCTTCCTACTACAGGTGGTCACGTCACAGGTGAGGCAGAGACAGGTGTCGCAGGGAACATACAGGTGTGAATGGGGAAAGACAGGTGCCAAGGGGGACAGAGACAGGTATCAAAAGGGACAGTGAGATGGGTATTAAAAGGGACGGACAAGTATCAAGGGGAGAGAGGTGTCATAAGAGATAGTCAGATGTCATAGGGAAGGCAGAGACAGGTGTCAAGTGGAACAGAAAGACAGGTGTCAAGGGACAATGAGACAGGTGTCAAAGGGGACGGTGAGACAGATGTCAAGGGACAGAGAAACAAGTGTCAAAGGGACAGAGAGACAGGTGTTAAGGGGACAGTGAGACAGGTGTCAGGGGACAGAGAGACAGGTGTCAGGGGACAGAGAGACAGGTGTCGAAGGGGACAGTGAGACAGGTGTCAAGAGGACAGAGACAAATGTCAAAGGGGACAGAGACAGGTGTCAAAGGGGACAGTGAGACAGGTGTCAAAGGGACAGTGAGACAGGTGTCAAAGGGACAGAGACAGGTGAGAAGGGACAGAGAGACAGGTGTCAAAGGGACAGAGAGACAGGTGTCAAATGGGACAGTGAGTCAGGTGTCGAAGGGGACAGAGAGACAGGTGTCAAATGGGACAGTGAGACAGGTGTCAAGAGGACAGAGACAAATGTCAAAGGGACAGACAGGTGTCAATTAAGACAGACAGGTGTCAGGGACGAGACAGGTGTCAAGGGGACGTGAGACAGGTGTCAAATGGGACAGTGAGACAGGTGTCAAGAGGACAGAGAGACAGGTGTCAAGGGACAGTGAGACAGGTGTCAAGGGACAGTGAGACAGGTGTCAAGGGGACACAGTCAGGTGCCCAAAGAGACAGATGTCAAAGAGGACTGTGAGACAGGTGTCATAGGGGACAGTGAGACAGGTGTCAAAGGGGACACAGTCAGGTGCCCAAAGAGACAGATGTCAAGGGACAGGACAGGTGTAAGGGACACAGTCAGGTGCCCAAAGAGACAGATGTCAAGGACAGTGAGACAGGTGTCAAAGGGACAGAGACAGGTGTCAAGGGACAGAGGAGCAGGTGAAGGGGACAGTGAGACAGGTGTCAAGGGACAGAGACAGGTGAGAAAGGGACAGTGAGACAGGTGTCAAAGGGACAGAGAGACAGGTGTCAAAGAGGGACAAAGACAAATGTCAAAGGGACAGAGACAGGTCCAAATGGGACAGTGAGTCAGGTGTCGAAGGGGACAGTGAGACAGGTGTCAAAGAGGACAAAGAGACAAATGTCGGGACAGAGAGACAGGTGTCAATTCAGACAGACAGGTGTCAGTGGTGACAGAGACAGTTCCAAGGGACAGTGAGACAAGTGTCAAGGGACAGATAGACAGGTGTCAAAGGAGACAGTGAGACAGGTGCCAAGGGACACAGTCAGGTCAAAAAGACAGATGTCAAAGAGGACTGAGACAGGTATCATAGGGACAGAGACAGGTGTCAAAGGGGACAGAGAGACAGGTGTCAAAAGAAACAGTAGGCAGGAAGAAGGCAAAGTTGTACAGTACACAGGTAAATTGGTCAGTGTTTGGACAGTGAGGGAGGAACAGTAGCCAACAGGTATAGACCATATTTAAACGAGTGAAGGAGGGCGGCGATGCTTCAGTCAGTTCACTTAAATGTAACATACAAGACATGATGATCAGTCCCCATTAATGTATCATATCACCAGTTGTTAATCACTCACTTGTTCAAAGAGATGAGCTTTAGTGTCTGACAGATGATTGATAACACTGACTAATATGTTAGAATAGTCCTTTTGTGTTCTTGATATAACATGTTATTCTTGTCTTCAGCTGAGGTCAGGATGCCCTCTGGAGAAGCAGATCTTCCGGTGATTGAGGATAATCGGGATGGCACCGTGTCCGTCCGCTACGCCCCGCGGGAGGAAGGCCTTCATGAGCTGCACGTGAAGTACAACGCTGAACATGTGCAGGGTTAGACCTCTCTATATTTGTTAAACTCCTTCACTCTGTTTAGATAATTCAAGATGACTATTTTGTGTACCTGATAAACCTTTTAGTACATACATGTAGTCTGAAAGTGATATATTTTATTAAACTTCCAGTAACTTTTAATAGTCACATCATTACTCTCTTAAGGCAACTCCAGATGACTACTTTGTGTATTTGTCTTGATGTACTTCACAGGGATCATAATACCTAACCTTGACCTGTTCATTCACCATCTGGGAAAGTTAACAGATTCACATTTGTAAGAAAACAGGTTGATGGCATATTCTGTCATGATGTTCTTTTACTGAGTTGAATATAGAGTGATGTAGGTCCAGTATTTGTTGTCCTGCCAGGGTGATGTTTTACCTGAGGTGGTCAACACACATTTTATAGTAGTAGTGATGATTTTATCCCACACACACACACACACACATTAATTCTCTCATTTTAGTGACCATCAGATGAACCAAGATTATACTGAGGAAAACATTGTGAATTATATGTAATACAAGAGTGTTGTTACATACTGTATATAGTTAAACTTATCCCGTACATCATGTTACCATTTCCAATATGTGATGCAATTATTGTACCAGGTTATGATTATCAATAGTAGTTGTAGTGAAACCCAAACAATGTTGTCAGGCTCAGGACAACAACGGCAACACACAAAGAAGGATTACATACACACTGGTCTGTCAGCCACACCAGAAAAGTTATCAATATGTCCCCTAACATATCCACCATCACTAGATAAATATTTGTACAGTAAAATCGTCACCCAGGTTTGCATTGATTCAGCATGCACAAACAACTATAGACCATAAGGCATTTTTTACAATATATAAAGGTGTCATTATATTTTATTCACAATACAGGTATTATCCGTTAGTTTACATAGGGTGGCTCAAGCACACAAAGATTTACCATTAAGCTGGCACACAATCCCAGCCGCAGGTTTAATTAATACACCCCAGCCAATAATACCTTGACATAGTTCTTGTACCGTAGTTGCCTTCTGTGACTTAGAAGTGAATGGAGGATTTATTACATCCTCAGTCCAGAGGCATTAGTGATCAGTAAGATGACAAAAGAAAAAAGTAGACACACTGAAACAGGATTGATTGAAAATATAAAATTAAGCGTGAGGTGGGAGTCAATCTTATAAGGATATAATCGGGGTTAAGAATCTTTTGTCTTATTCTTTAATTGAGTCTGTGTCACATTCAAACAAAATATTGAACATTAGGCTAAATATGTGGCTATAAGTAATCATTTGGTTGTTTTTCTCTTAAGGTTCACCATTCAAGTTCCACGTGGACTCCATCTCCTCTGGGTACGTTACAGCATATGGAAGTGGCTTGGTTCATGGCATCACTGGAGAGCCATGCAACTTCACCATCTCGACCAAGGATGCCGGTGCAGGTAGCTCCACTCGTGGTGAGGTCTCCATCTACTTTTCTTCTCCTTTACTTCTCCTCCATCCTTCCGTGTGAGGTCACCTACCTGATGGCGGTTCTTGGCAATGGGTGTTAAAAAGCGCACCAACACTAGTCCTGTAATTTCCACATAGGACCTTCTCCTGCTCAGGTCATATAATAATAGAGGTCGCTACAAGTAAAGGTCATTATGTGATGTACAGATGACGTACCAAAGGCACCCAGCTATGTCCTCCTGAAGGTACCGCCTCACCACCTCCCCAAACCTTCATCAGGAGTGTGTTGACGCTGCTCTTGTCTGCCAGTCAACGCCCTTTGCTACCATTACACTGAGTTGACACCTGCAGTCTGCCAGTACTGTATAACTAATGTATACGTGATGTGTAATAAGTGAACCAGATTTAGAGTGCTAAGCATGATTTATTTCTAAAAACAGTTTATCCATTATTTGCCATTTTAAACCTTAGAAGTTAATAATAATTATGCACAAGCTCTGCTTCAATTATGTCCAGTTTTGTTTTTATTAGCATTTCTTATTCTGAAGAATACATTTTGAAAACATCAAATATAATGAATGAAACAAATATTATATAAGTCAGAAGAAAGTGTAGTGTAGGACCAACAGAACCTTCCATAACAAACAGGTTGGCACAGTCAGTCTACAGGAGCTACAGTACATCTCAAGTAGGGGTTAGTTCAGAGGCCATAAACACATGAATTATTTCACTCACTTGTACTGTAGTGTTCTGGTTATGTTTTGTGTGACTTGAATTATTGAGTTCATTATATTACCCAGATGTGAAGACCTGGAACAGAAAACATAGTTCATGGATCATATGACTTATCTACCATAGAAGATAAACCCAGTCAGTCAATATTGTCCCGTTTTTGTACCTGTGAACAACAATGAATGTGCAAGTCCCTTACTGTTATAATCATCCCTAATATTGGTTTTATATTTCACACAAAGTAATTCTCAGACTTTATCTTAATATTTAATGTTACTTCAATAAATATTATTACCTAGCCATTATAATAGGTATTACTATAACATCAAACTCACTACAGCACAGCCTACACTGATGACATTATATACAGTGTAGTGTTCCTTAACCAAGAGGTGAAGGAGAGGTCTGTACTGTACTGTATCCTCTCTTATGGTGGCTGACAAAACTCTCTAACACAGAAATATGGACAAAAAATGTTCTCTCGTGATAAACCGTTGTTGTTTACGTCAGTTGGATCTTGTGACCGGAGACACAAACATTATCTCTTGTTTTCTCATTTTCAAGCCACAGACGGGAAAACATGAAGGTCTGCTACAAAGTTTAAAATTTTGTCAAGATGTGTTTTATTTTTTATTTATTTTACCAAATCTGTCTCCTATTATTCTCTTCCTTCCAATTTTACAACTTTTTGTTTTTCTTTTCTTTCTTTTTCCTCTGAATGGGAATC